TCAATAGGGTCTCAGCAAAATGGATGGAAATAAATACATCGTTGTCCCACATGTATCCCAGCCATCTAACTAAAGGAAAAATGAACAGATTTATCACAAATTCAAAATAACCTTGGAGTGTCACAAGTAGCCTTTGTAAAGCCGACGCTCCTCTCCAATTTTTCAGATTCGTAACGTCGCAGTAGACACATGTATGCATTGCCTACTTATTTTTTCCTCATGAGAGCAGGCAGCTGTACACAAGCTATGTCTAACCATGATCCCTTAATCGCTACACTAATGTCCCATTGTTCAAAGGGTGGAAAACATTACCAAGTTGATAAATGTGGACAAGGCAAGATAAGCTGTTTTATCTACATGGTGGAGAGCCATATTCAGCCTTTGAACAACCAGAGCGAGGTTTCTTTTTCGTATCGGTAAAATGCCAAGTTGTGTTAATTTTGATTATGACAGATATACCTATTTTGTCATGTCTTGTTCAAAACTNATCTGCGCTATCGGAGCTGACACCACTACACTTATACCAGGGTGAACTTTCAATAAATCCAGACATGTATACATGATATATTATACAACAAAACATACGCAAAGTCTTACGTTTATTGTTGAGATTGTCCTTTTAAAGAGCATGCATGAAAATAGGGGTCTGAAAGTTATCAGTTAACAGCATATGTCAGCATTTTTCAGAAGAACGGAGTAACTTCAAAAGATAACTAAGTTTTTCTTTTGAGGGCAGGCCAGACGGGAACACTGCTTCAAGCATAAGTTTCTCTGGTGTGTAGATTTGATGAAATGATGAGTTCTCTGAGCTTTAAGAAGTTCAACTCATGAATGAATTATATTATATATATTTTTAATTCCTTTTACTTGTAACAGGAAAAATTATAATATTGAAATATATGCATTGCAAGGAGATGATTCCTTGTATTTTTCCTTCACCACACAACACAATCAAAGGTCCTGAAGCATGGGTATGTTGGTCAGCCAGGTCCAAGATATGTTGTAATATTGTCGACACATCAATAGGGTCTCAGCAAAATAGATGAAAATAAATACATCGTTGTCCCACATTTATCCCAGCCATCTAACAAAAGGAAAAATGAACAGATTTATCACAAATTCAAAATAACCTTGGAGTGTCACAAGTAGCCTTTGTACAGCTGAAGCTCCTCTCCAATTTTTCAGATTTGTAATGTTGCAGTAGACACATGTACGCATTGCTTACTTATTTTTTCCTCACGAGAGCGGGCAGCTGTACACAAGCTATGTCTCCTATTACAATTGTGCTAACCATGATCCGTTAATCGCTACACTAATGCCCCATTGTTCAAAGGGTGGAAAACGTTACCAAGTGGATAAATGTGGACAAGGCAAGATAAGCTGTTTTATCTGCATGGTGGAGAGCCATATTCAGCCTTTGAACAACCAGAGCGAGGTTTCTTTTTCGTATCAGTAAAATGCCAAGTTGTGTTAATTTTGATTATGACAGATATACCTATTTTGTCATGTCTTGTTCAAAACTTGTAAATAAATTAGAACCTTTTTTTTTTGTTAGATCGAAGGATTCCAGTGAAGCGGAGGAAAGGGGCCCCCCAAAAAACAACTTTCTTTTGGACTTCAGTCGCACACATAATGTTTGGCTCTGTCACCTCACTGTTCCTTTTTATGTTTTTCTCGAAGAGATTTGTTATTCNGATAACAGGCGATAATAAGAGGACGTCAAGATGAGAAATCCTACACCGAAAAATCACTCGGCCGTGAAAGGGCAAACTCTTGGGCTTAGGCGGTAGTCCTAGCGCGCTCCTAGCCCCCAGGATTTCGCGCGGCCATTTTTTTCTCGCGAATTTCTTTCGCGTCACGCACGACGTACTAAGCGAAAGAGGGACTACTCGTAGTCTACTAGAAATCTGATATTTTTTAGACCTAATAACCCCAAACAATTTATGTTATAGCCTGCGTAGCGGTTTTTAAGCAATTTTAGCGGGCTAAAAGAAAGCCGCGAAGCCGCGGTAACGAGCGCCAAAGAGCGGCGAAGCCGCGAGGAGCCTGGGAGAGATACAACTGAGAAACCGTCTGCAGGGATAACCGGCAACTTTTTGTTAGTGTAATACGCTGGCGTACGGGCCATGGCAATTGGATCAGAAGGCTAATACATCAATCAAAATTTTCGCTAATCTCCTAAGGGACAGCTCCAAGGAACAACACTGATTACAACGTAGATCTTTGGCGTGTAAACAGAAAATAACTGAGAAAGCGTTGTCGAAAGCGTTTTGGCGCGTCAATATTCGTCGCGACTCTCTCGAAATTGTTAACTGCCAAACACGAGCAAAAAACAGCTGAAAACAATTTGCCTCATAGGAGAGATGTGATGGCCGTTTTCCCAACAGGCTTTGGCAAAAGCATGATTTTTACCGTTTTTCACTGTTCGCGCTCGCCAGACAAGAATGTTGTTGTCTACGAGAGCCAGTATCGTTGTTAGGCTTTGCGCTTCACCGCCATCGAGCAAACACCGCATCGGATAGTTTTGTTTTGATAGACTCTACAGTATGACAGTGACTTTTCCCTGCCAAGTTGGCTGGGACTTTCTTAGTACGCGTCGTTTATATTTCAAGGTCAACCGATCGATCAATGGGCTTTGTTTGACTTGGTTGCTATGCACCGGCTGCAACAAGCGGACAATCATCAACTAAGCTTATCAAACATACGTAGACTGAAATGGTTCTTCGAAAACGTTTAATAACTCGGCAACTACGTAAACGTTTAATTAAAAAGTTTTAAACGAAGTCGCGCACGAAATTTTTGGGCGAACTCGAAAAGTTGGGTGCGGTAGAGGTGGTAGGCTCGATTTCCGCCGCTTTCTCGAGTCCG